GTGGGCCATTGTGCTTCCAAAGCATTAGAAAATGAAGAGTCACCTGAATTCCATGAAGACTTTATGATTGGTGTTTGTAATTTCTTGCATAATAAGATTAGGTCCTTTTGCCAGAACTGATACTGAGAAAATTAATGTTTGTGGTCAGGCCTGGAGGTCACCATGGAAGCAGTGAGCAGGGATCACATAAAATTGCATATATATCAACCAAACAGGGCTGTGCTGGTGTTTATGTTCCACATACAACTCCTCCTCGACTACCCAAGCCAATGCTGTCAATGTATCCTTGTTTTCGGTCTATTTTCACAGAAGTGGCCAATTACTCAAGGTCAATTTTTTTACATTGCCAGTACTGCTTTCTGTAAACCACTGTTTAGTGTCTCACTGGTTAGATGTATGTTTGTACTTACTTCCCTTCATTTCAAATGATAGTTCAGCTGCTGATTCCACTGAGCTAAGCAGTGCTTAAAAACAAAAGGAGAAATAAATAGAGAGACAACCCAATTGTAAATTGTGAGATAGTAAGAACTGCCGATGCTGGAGTCAGAGATAACACAGTATGGAGCTGGATGAACACAGCAGGCCAGGCAGCATCAGAGGAGCAGGAAAGCTGACATTTCGGGTTGGGACCCTTCTTCAGAAATCTTACTCTCCCGACCCGAAACGTCAACTCTCCTGCTCCTCTGGTGCTGCCTGGCCTGCTGAGTTCCTCCAGCTCCACACTGTATTATCTCTTTTTAGTGAAGTAAGATGAATTTAGTGAATGGGTGACATCTAGTGTTAGGAAGCAGAAAATGCTACATTTCTTGACATAAAGCCTTCCATGTTTTCACATTGACCCAAAGGGCTTCAAGCTAATTAAATAGTTTTGTCTTGAAAACACAGTTCTTCTGTAGGCCAACACAGTAGCCAGAACACAATAGTATGGTTCTATAAATGTAGCTTGTAGTTATAAATCACCTCAACTTAATAAGACAGCCTGATAGCATCTGTAGAGAGAAAAAGAGTTGACATTTTGAGTCCAGTGATGCTTTTTTATTTCTGAAGAAGGGTCCCGACCCGAAACGTCAGCTTTCCTGCTCCTCTGATGCTGCCTGGCCTGCTGTGTTCACCCAGCTCCACGCTGTGTTATCTCTGACTCCAATATCGGCAGTTCTTACTATCTCTTATCTCACTAAACCTGTTTCAAAACCTGCCAGGCACACCTGCTGGGAGTAAAAGATATTTTTATTTCGACCTTAACTGGAGTTCTCATGGCAAAGTGGTAGTATCCCTGCCTCTGAGCTAGGAGCCCCATGTTCGAGTCCCACCTGCACCAGAGGTGTGTGTGATAACATTTCTGAACAGGTTGATTAGGAAAATAGATATGTAACTAACATCTCTGAACTGATGATTGGAAAGTCAAGTCATTTTCCTCATTGAGGAACAAAATCCAAGGACATACTGTGTGACTAGAGGTGCTGTTGTGGTGCAGCGGTAATGTCCCTACCTCTTGACTTTATTTCACTTACCTCTCGGTGAAGAGCTTGGTCGCAGCAACAACAACATCAGCAGCAAGTAAGCCCGGCAGTACGGACCGGAGCGGGCCCGGCAGCGCGGACTGGAGCGGGTCTATCAGCGCGCACCAGAGCGGGCCCGGCAGCGCAGACCGGAGCGGGCCCATCAGCGCGGACCGGAGCGGGCCCGGCAGCGCGGACCGGAGCGGGCCCAGCAGCACGGACCAGAGTGAGTCCTGTAGCGCGGACCGGAGTGAGTCCTGTAGCGCGGACCGGAGTAAGCCCTCAGCATAGACCAGAGTGGGCCCGGAAGCGCAGACACAATTGGGCCCAGCAGCACAGACTCGTGGCAGCAATGTTGGAGGTGAGTTCAGGTTTCTGGCGGCCTCTGTATTGTGGAGGTGGTCTCAGCGCCAACTCGTGGCTACTGCGGCGGAAGTGAGTTTGGGCCCAGTACGAGACCCGATGGTATCAGCAGTGGCTGTACTGGCGAGGTGGGGCCAAAGTGGAATCATGGTAGCGGTGGAGTCAAGTTCGGGCTGGTTCAGTACCCGGCAGCATTGGTGAGGTCCAGCGAGAATTCAGTTTGGGGCAGGGGGTTGTCAGCGGAGGCGAGATGGCGCTGAAGTGTGGGCAACTTTTGTTCCATCAGTGGTGGCACAGCGAAGGGGACTTGTGCCTGGCCTCTAGGCCCATGGTGAAGCATTTAACAAGAAGGACCGCAAAATTGGGCACGCTCTTTTCGTTACTTCTTCATTTTTCTGCCATTATATTTGATGTTTTGATTTTTATTTCTATGTTTTAAGATGACACTGGAGAGTCGCAACACTGTTCGACACTTTTCACTGTACTTTGTAACAAGATACCCGTGACAACAAATAAATCAAATCAAATTTTGACTGAGAGACCTGGTTCAAGTCACTTCTGCTCAGGAGGTGAATCTCTGAACAGGTTAATTAGAAAATATTTTCCAGTCTTGAGTACAGGGCTCTTGTGGTGCAGAGTGTATGTCGCTACCACTGAGCCAGGAGGCAAGGGTTCAGTTCCGATCTGCTGCAGACATGCATTGTAACAGGTTGTTTAGGAAGTGTATTCATGAATTCAGAAATTTGAACACTCTGCCTGGGTTCCTGTCCAATTCCAACTGAGGGGAGGGCGGTGAAAGGTTACCACATTTTGTTGGCTGTAAGGACTGTACGTCTAAATGGAATTTTATGAGGCAATCGCAATTGAATGACATGGTGTTTATTAATCCAAAGAAATTATGATATTTTTCTGTAATGTAAGTAAATATTGCAATCATGGTGTTTTCCCCAAACATTCCCTAAAACTTCACAACTCTCACTTCACAGCATTATCACTCTTCGAGTTAATAGGAGAATAATTTTAACAGCAAGCTAAGTGACAAGCAATTAAGTAAAACCTGAAGCATCCTACCTTTGCGTTAGCTGTTCAAACCTAAATGACTGACCACTTTCATTGTGTGGATTACAACAACAGTTTGCATTTACATGGGACTTCGCAGGTGCATTACGAAGCAACATGTGAAACCAAACCACTTATGGAGAGATTAGATTGGATGGCAAAAGGTTTGGTCAAAGGTAGGTCATTAAGGAATGTTATCACAGAGGCAAAGGAGGAGTAAGAGAAATGGAGGTCTGAAAATTCCAGCGCTTAAGGCCCAGCAGCTGAGGACAGGTCCATTTATGATGCAGTGATTAATATTGGGAATGTCCGAGGGATCCCCATTACAGAAGCGGGGATACCTAGGAGGCTTTTAGAGCCTGAGAAATTCACAGGCTTACACTGGCTCCTGGTTAAGCAATGCCTCAATCACAGATATAGACAGGGGTCAAGACATGGACATTAGAATTAGAATTAGGTTTTATTGTCATGTGTACTAAAGTGCAGTTGTACAGTGAAAAGTGTACAAAGTTGCCATTCCTTGTGCCATCTTACGTACAAATGTACTCGGGTACAAAATCTTAGGTATAAAATAGAAAAATAAAGAAATAAAGTAAAAGTTAAACATTACAGTTCTTCTTAATATAAAGTCGAAAAAAAATTGAGGCATTGCTTAACCAGGAGCCAGTATAAGTCAGTGGGCACAGGTAATGGGTGACCAGCATCTGGTTTGAAAGATGAACGGCAAATTTTGAATGAACTTAAGTTTATGGAGGGTAGAACGTGGGAGACCTGCACTTGGAATGGTTAGGTCTCAAGATAACAAAGGCATGGATGTGGACTTTAACAGAAGAGCTGAGGCAGTGGTAAATTCAGTCATAGAGGTGGAACAGGGCATCTTAGTGAGTACACTAATCTGTACGTGTAACTTTTATTTTGTATGTTTTATGCTGTATTATAATAACTGCAATGTTTAACTTTTAACTTTGTTCTTTCTTTCTAACTTGTTCTTAAGATTCTGTACCTAAATAAAAGATGGTGCCTTAAGTGGCAACATTATACACTTTTCACGGTTCTCCTGCACATATGTACTTGAGTCCATGTGACAATAAAATCAAATGAAAAATCAAATGAAATATGACACCGGGCTTAGCAACAGGCTGCTTCAGCATCACACAGTAGTCACAGAGAGGGATGGAATTGATGGTGAGGGAGTGGAATGTGTGACGGAAACCAAAGGCAATGGTTTTCCGCCTTCCCAATATTGAATGGAGGAAATTTCTGCTTGTTCAGTACTGGATATTGGCTAAACAGTCTGACAGTTTAGGGTCAAGAGAGTTGGTGTTGAGGTAGAGCTGGGTGTTGTCAGATCCCCACGTCAGAAGTATTGGTGTAAGAAAGGGAAGTAAAGTGGCTTTAATAGGACTGACTGTGCTTTCCCTGTCCAGTGATATGGTTCCTCTTCAGCTGGTAGGCAGGAATAATCACCTTAGAGCTAGCAGGAACTGTAGATGCTGGAGAATCTGAGATAACAAGGTGTAGAGCTGGATGAACACAGCAGGCCAAGCAGCATCAGAGCAGCAGGAAAGCTGACGTTTCGGGCCTAGACCCTTCTTCAGAAAAAAAAATCGCCTTTGTCTCTCTGCTTGGTGTTAAAACAAATCGCAAAGAGACTTGTTTCTTATTTGTTTGTGACACAGTACGAAAGTCGCATCATCCCCATGTGAAATCGCCATAACGACGTTAAGTAACCTCTTCGGTGCCCCTGCAACTTTAAAGAAATGTTTGGCGATGCACTTTCTTTCCAGGCACTGTCCCTTTAAGCAACCCGAACAAAACCTTTCGCTGCAGTTTCTAATGATCTGAAACCGGATCCAGCTATATTTACATTTAACTCAAAAAGGAAACTGCCGGCGCTAGATTTCAACACAAGACCTTGCCTTTTAGAAGCGTGATTGTGGAAAAAGACTAAACTGAGAGGACTGTCCGACTATCTGTTCAGAGTAATGAGCTTCGGTTCAGGATGGGTGAACACTGTTGGTCATTGTTGTAGCGACGACTGACCCATGACCTTTTCTTGCTGTGCTTTCTCTTCTGCAGCGCCTGCACCTCAGTGAAGATGTGGCCGGAGCTACGTTCATGGCAGCTGGAAGCTCAGCCCCTGAGCTCTTCACCTCCATCATAGGTAACTCAGTGAAGTCAAGTATGAAAAAGCAAAGCCGCACTTCGTTATTTCCAATTTGTTCATCTCTGCCTTGTTCATCATTTCTCCAACAAAATTGTCAGACTCTAGTCTTTTTGCAGAAATGCCATTTTGAAAGTGACGCCCTCAAAAGCTTCACTTAAAGCATAATCACGTACTCCCAGTTTGTGTTCCATGAGAGAAGGTTGAGAATTAGGCAACTCTTATTAAAGTGCGCCTCTAGAACCTAGAACTCATTCATCATTACAGAGCAATTACTGTGCAGGATGCCATTTGTTTTTGTCCTTGTCTGTGCCAGCTCTCTATGAGAGGAACTCACTCAATCTACTCCCCTGCCTCTATCCCTGACGCCTGGCTATTTCTTTTTCTTTCAGATAATTATCCAACTCCCTTTTGAAAGTCACAATTGATTCTCCCTCCTCCTAACAATTTGTTGGGTTTTTTTAAAAAAATAAGGTTTTTCCTCACACTGTGTTTATTTCTTTTGCCAATTATGGGAACACCACTGCCTGCAAGATATCCCCGCAATCCACACTACGTCCTGACTTGGAAATGTAGCTCCATTCCTTCAGTGTCTCTGAGTCAAAATGCTGGAAGTCTTCCTGAAGCAGCATTGTGAGTCTTGCATACAGCAAATGGGACTGCAGGGGTTTAAGAAAGCAGCTCATCACTACCCCCTCAAGGGCAACTAAGGGGCAGGAAATAAATGCTGGCCCAGCCAGCAATGCCCATGTCCCACAAGTGAATAAAAACACTCCTTATATTGGTGTTGACACCAACAGTTCTATTCGCAAACTGAATGAAGTCACAGTGAAGACCCAACCTTCTCAATGTTGCGTCCTCACCTGAGTCCTGGGGACCTTCAGGTTAAAGTCATCACCAGTCATCTCTCACGAATGAGAAAGCAGCTAATAGACCTCTGGGATGATAGTGATTTTCTATATCAGTGTCCTCTGGATCTCAACCCTTGCGCCAGTGGAAAAAATTATAGAGTCATGGAGTCACACAGCACAGGAACAGACCCTTTGGCCCATATCCTTCTAAACCTTTCCTATTCATATAACTGTCTAAATATCTTTTAAATGTTATAACTGCACCTACATCTACCACTTCTACTGGCAGTTCATTCCACATACAAACCACCCTCTGTGTGAAACATTTGCTGCTCAGGTCCTTTTTAAATCTTTCTCCTCTCACCTTAAAAAAAATGCCCCCTAGTTTTGAACTTCCCCACCCTAGGGTAAAGACCTTTGTTATTCACCTTATCTATCCCCCTCATGAATTTATAGATGTCTGTAAGGTCACCTCTCAACCTCCTACACTCCAGTGAAAAATGCCCTAGCCTATCCAACCTCTCCTTATTACTCAAACCCTCCAGTCCCGGCAACATCCTGATAAATCTTTCCTGAACTCTCTCCAATTTAATAATATCCTTCCTGTAACAGGGCATCTAGAACTGTACACAGTACTCCAAAAGTGGCCTCACCAACATCCTGTATAATCTCAACGTGATGTCCCAACTCTTATACTCAATGGTCTGAGCAAGCGTGCTAAACACCTTCCTAACCTCCCTGCCTACCTGTGACGCAACTTTCAAAGATATATGTAGCTAAGCTCCTAGGTCTCTCTGTTCAACACACCAACTAGGGCCTTACCATGAAATATATAAGTCCTGCTGTTTTTCATTTTACCAAAATGCAATGCCTTGTATTTATCCAAATTAAACTCCATCTGCCACTCCTCAGCTGTTTGGCCTAATTGATCAAAATTCCTTTGTAATTTTAGACAGACATCATCACTTTCGACAATACCATCAATTTTGGTATCATCCGCAAGCTTACTAACCATGTCTCTTAAGTATTCATCCAAATTGTTTATATAAATGACAAATAACAGTGGACCCAGAACCGAATCCTGTGGAACACTGCTGGGTTACAGGCCTTCAGTCTGAAAAACAACCCTCCTTACCACCCTCTTTCTCATAACGATCAAGCCAATTTTTTATCCAATTGGTTAGCCCTCCCTGAATCCCATGTGATCTAATTTCACTAACCAGTCTACGATGCAGGATCATGTCAAAGACTTTGCTAAATTCCATGTAGAAGACGTCTACTGCTCTGACCTCATCTATCTTTTTGGTTATGTCCTCAAAAAATTCAATCAAATTTGTGAGACACAATTTCCCATGTACAGAGCCATGCTGACTATCCCTAATCAGTCCTTCCCTCTCCAAATGCATGTAAATCCTGTCTCTCAGAATCCCCTCCAACAACTTACCTACCAGTGATGTCAGATTCACTGGTCTGTAGTTCCCAGGCTTCTCCTTACAGCCTTTCTTAAATAAAGGCACAACATTAGTAACCACCACACCCCCCCATCTAGTCCTCCAGCACCTCATTCATGGCTATTATGATACAAATATCTTTGCTATGGGTCCTTCAATTTCTTCCCTAGGATACACTTGATCAGGTCCCAGAGATGTATCAACATTTGTGCTTTTAAAAGACCTCCAGGACCTCCTGTTCTGTAATGTGGACTGTTTTCAAGACATTAATATTTATTTCCCGGAGTTCCCTGGCCTCCATGTCTTTGTCCACGTTAAAAACTGATACAAAATATTCGTTTAGTATCTCTCCCTATTTACACCTCTCTCTCAAAATTCCTCAAAGCTTTGAACATCTGCTGCTTTCAATCTTCCATTCCCTAAGGAGAAAAATCCAGTTTTTCACATCAATCTGTGTAACTCAAGTCCCTCATCGTCATCAATCTATTCCTCACCCCACTGCAATGCCTTCATTATTGCTCCGAAAGTGTGATGCACAGAATTGGACACATTATTCGTATCGAGCTAACCCATTGATTTATAAGCATTCACTTTAACATGCTTTGGATTCTATTTTTCAGTTTATAAGGTCTAGGATCCAGGTGGCTTTTTAATCACTTTCTCAACCAGCCCTGTCACTTCCGAATAACTTGCGCAAACCCCCAGATTCCTCCACTTCTACGCTCCAGTTTAGAACTCTCTCCATTGCCCCTCCTCATTCCTTCTGCCAAAATGTGTCACTTCATACTTCATCTGCCACAGGGTCACCCATTGTAACAGCTTGCCTTCGTCCTCTTGAAGCCTATCGCTGTCCTCTTCACAGTTTGCTGGACTCTCAAGTTTTGTGCCACGTGCAAACTTTGAAATGGTGCCCCGCACACCCAAGTCTAGGTCATAAATATGAGTATGTAATGTAAACATTAATATAAAAATAGGTAAAGCAATGGTCTTAATACCGACCCCTGCGGATCCTCACTATACACGCACCATTAATCTGAAAAACAATTGCTTACAGGTACTCTTGTATCCACTGTGCCACTGTTCCTGCTATGTCACACGCTTTCCATAGAAACATCGAAAATAGGAGCAGGAGTAGGCCATTCGGCCCCTTCGAGCCTGCTCTGCCATTCAATATGATCACGGTTTTTCATCCAGCTTAGTACTGTCTTTCTCCCCATACCCTTTGATCCCGAAGAATTTGATCCCTTTAGCCTTAAGAACTATATTTAACTCCTTGAAAACTTCCAATGTTATGGCCCCAACTGCTTTCTGTGGCAGGGAATTCCACAGGCTCACCATCCTCTGGGTGAAGACATTTCTCCTCATTTCAGTCCTGAATGACCTACCCCTGGACTCTCCAGTCACTGGGAACATTCCTGCTGCATTTACCTGTTAGAATTTTATAGGTTTCTATGAGAATCCCCCATCATTCTTCTAAGCTGTATTGAATACAGTCCTAACCAATCCAATCTCTCTTCATATGTCAATCGTGCCATTCCAGGAATCAGTATGGTAAACCTCTGTTTAATCCTTCCATTGCCAGAACATCTTTCCTCAGATAAGTAGACCAAAACTGTACACATTACTCCAAGAGTAGTCTCACCAAGGCCCTGTATGATTGCAGCAAGACATCCCAACTCCTGCATCCAAATCCTCTTCCTATTAAGGACAACATACTATTTGCCTTCTTCACCACCTACGTGCTTACTTTCAGCTACAGTGGCTTTATCCTGGGTCTTCCAGAGCAGGTTTCCTTTTTGATGGTAATGACAACGTTTGCAGCCTTCAAACAGCTACAGCCATGTGAGACAACACAAAGACAGACAGCTGAATCAAATCAGCCTCCCTACCTCTGTATTCACAACACAGTAAAGTAAAAACCATCAAAGACGCTCAGAATTGACCCGATTGATTCCTAGCCAGACTTTTTGAGTAAACAGTCACAGTTTTTGTGAATAATCAATACTGGATACCAGGCTAAACAAAAGACTCAACAATTTATTAGCTTTTGCAGAGCAAAGTCAAACCACAAGGTAATCTAATGTCTAAGATTTAAACCTGGTCCTTTTTAAATCTAGCCCCGCGCTCTCACAAAATCTGAAAGAGAAACTGAAATAGTTAAGGGATAAATCAAAAGGAAAAGATAAGTGGGATGTAACAGGCCAGTTCACTTAAGCAGACTCCACAATCCGTAACATCAGCCTATAGAATTATATCTTGCTTGGTTTTAGATGACACCAATGCATACAAATCTCTTCCAGTAGGATCTAAGGAAAGTTCATTTAATTCTTACAACCGTGATTCTATTTTCTGAACATTCAGTAAGTTGACAATGAGAGTACAAGCAAGGAGCAATCAAACCTTTTTCTTGTAGCTTTCACAGACATAATCCTTCTGATCCAAATACAGTCTAAAAGCCAATTCAAACATTGACCTTTCTTTGTTAGACTTGTTATCTCCCCTCAAGGTCTCAGTGAACATTGAACATCTGCCATCTACTTAAGCATAAGATTTCCCTGGGGTTGAAGAGCCTACAGAGCATTTTTTCAAACGTGAAGCAAGGTGCAATTAACTTCCAGGCCTGGCCTCATGAACAAGTAACAGCTTGTTTGTTTTCTTTTTTTTAACTCAAGCTGCTGTTCACAGCCCAAAGGTCACCTTTCAGCTCTCAGCCCCCAGTTCACAGCTTCAAACCAAAAGTGACTTAAAAACAAATAAAAATAAAAATGGTGAAAAATGACTTCTTATCCTGCTAGTCTGACGTGATTATTTGTGGAGGTCGCTTTGCACAAGGAATGAATATGAATACTTGACGGATGGACAAAATGTGCTTATGCTCTGTGAAAGGAATCAATACAGTTCACCCTGTTCTTCCAATTGTACCATATACTGCTTCTGCACTCAACTGTATGGTGTTTCTATGTGCGTCAAACAGAACATTCTCATCTTTTCTCCCGGCTTCATTCTGTGTCTTGTGCTGGGCCATAGTTCAATTCTTTCTATATCCCACCCAATAGTCACTATTTGTGAGAGACCTGGGAGGTTATTTGTTCATTTGGATCTCACCACTTAGCCCAGTCCTGATGTCCAGATGCAGGTAGCATCCCTGGTTACTAATTAGGAGCAGGAACTCTAACAATAACCCTGCCATGGGGCAATGGCACCAGTTATCTGTCCCTCTGGCTACAATCCGTTAACACAGCATGGACCAGGAAGATCTCAGCTTCAATTCCTTGTTTCTCTGGGAATTGAACCTGCCAACTTCGTGGTCCATTTGGTTCCACAGAAATGTCATCAATTATCTATGGATGCAGGCAGAATGAAGCCATTTGACTCTTCATTCTGGTTGCAGCTATATGAACTATCCAATCAGCGTGATTTCATTGTACTTGTCCCACTTTTTCCAACTTCTTGTTTTCCAAAGTATTTATCCAAATCTCCTGGTAGCTTTGCCTTCCCAGTTGCTAGTTTTGCACACATTCTGTTCTTATTTTTATATTAGACTTTGAGTTAACATTATCAATTATGATCAAACATAAAATGTACAAATTTAAAATTGAAGCTCATTATTTTATATTAAATTTACATCTTAAAAACCTCACACCTGTATAGTCTAATCTGATTATCACATGCCCCACCATTGCTCTTACCATAAGACAACACTTCCTTTGTTTCTCATGTACAGCAGTACAGGAGGTGGAATGATTTTTATTCAGTGTTATCTGTCTTTTGACATACTCTCTTTTTTAAACAAACTTTTGAAAATCAGAGCTGAAGAATTGTGAATCGGCAAACCATTTGAAAACTGGCCATTCAAAGTTAATGCTTGAGTAAAATAATATCTCAACAAATTGTCCATTTATTCAGATGCTTTCCAAAGCACTCAGGAGGAATTGAGCAATGGTGTTGAGCTATTAGTTGCAGGAAGGCTTATTTTGGAGTCTGGTAATGTCGTGGTAGCTTAGACACCGAAAGTGTACACCACAAACTTGTGATTTTCAGTATACACTCAATGCTTGATAAGTAGCTCATTATAGCTGAATAATTTGAGTATAAACCCTTTTGTGTTTACCATTTGTGCTGTTGTGCCTTTTATTGTGTGTACAGCCGGCATTCCAAATGTACCCCAGCTCTCGAAGGCTCATATCCCTACTTAAACTTCCCTTTCTGTTTCTCAGGAGTGTTCATCACAAAGGGAGATGTTGGGGTCGGAACCATCGTGGGCTCTGCAGTGTTCAACATTCTCTGCATCATTGGAGTGTGTGGGCTTTTCTCAGGATTGGTAAGCAAATCTCTCCACAGCCATCCACAATATAGTCAATGAGTAGGACCAAGGTACTGAAGCTCCTGGGCACATGGGCACCTCGTTGGTAATTAATTGGGTGGTCATGCCCTGGCAATGAGCACAGTAAATGGACAAACACCTGGAAACTACTGAGACCGCTGTTCCATTTGGTGTTTAATGTACAAGTACCGATAAAAGAGCTTTCATTTCTCTCTTCTTCTAGAGGATGAGGAGGCAAGATGTATACTATTGGCTTGTTTGTTCTGAATAATGAGATGATAGACAATACGAAAAGGAACAGCAAGTCCACCACAGTTTCTCCAGTTGTGTTCACGATATGTTTAAGCAATCTGGGCTCTGGATCAAAGCTGTCTCTGATTGAACTCAAAAGTGTTTTAAAAATTAAGAGATGCCAGGCAGGATTCACACTCGATGAAGAAAATGCTGACTTTATATTCAGTATTGACATTATTTCGATGGGAGTTGGAGACTGTCCCTCATGGAGGACTGTGGATTTGCCTGTCAGATCTTTGGAAGTCCCCAGTAAGGTTGATTTCATTCGGTCCCCAACCTGCTCTTAAGTTGAGCAAGGTTCACATTTTTTGAAGACATTTGGATGCAGGGGTGCAATATGAAGATGGAAGGTCGATTGTTTAGGGGAGAAGTGAAGATAAATTTCCTCATTCAGGATTGTGCATCTTTGGAATCCTCTACCCCAGAGGACCATGGATGCTCCCTCATTGTGTACGTTCAACACTGAGATCAATAGACTTTTAACTGATCTGGGAATCGAAGGAGGTGGGGAGAAGGTGGAACTGGAGATGGGATTGTACTCATTGGATTTTAGAAGAATGAGAAGGGACTGTATTGAAACTTGTAAAATTCTTAGGGGATTTGACAGGTAGATGGTGAGAGATTTCCCCTTTGTGGGAGAGTCTAGAACGACAGGGTATAATCTCAGAGTAAGGGGGTCACCCATTTAAGACAGTTGAGGAGGAATTTTGTCTCAGAAGTAGTAAGTTCTTTACTGCAGAGGGCTGTACATTAAATATACGAAAGGCTGAGATAGATTTTCAATCAATAATGGAATTAAGGATTCGGGGGAAAAGGCTGGTAAGTGCAGTTGGGGATTATCAAATCAATCCTGATCTTAATGAATGGATGAGCAGACTTAATGGACCAAATGGCCTACTTCTGCCCCTCTGTCTTTTGGTCTTATGGGTGGGAAAGTGGAATTGAGGTTGAAAATTGCTCTGATGGTATTGAATGGCAGATGAGGCTTAAGGGATTTGTTGGTCTGATTTTAAACCTACGACTTACATTCTCACACACCAGTGTACACAGGTAAATGTACATTGTCAGCAGAAGACAGAAATTTGTTTGGACCTCTTGAAAATGCTAATGCAGTTGCTCGCAGACATGAATTGATCATTTATAAATGACATCGACGAACGCTTCCCTTCACTGACCCTTGACCCAGATGGAAGTTAGCCAAACAACAGAACTTTACAGTCCATGAACAAAATCAGTTCCGTCATAGGGATGGTCTTTGTTGATTTGGGACGTTTGTAAAAGTGTTATGGCTGTTGTTCAAGTATTGTGTATATTGCCTGACTGTTACATTAGACATGTTAGCATTATATCTTATAAAAAGTAGTGGAAAGACAGATTGTAATATTCTGTTATATTGTACGCTACATTCTTTATTTTCAGCTGTTCCTCGTTTCCATTAATTCCCGCAAAAGCCCAAGAGATTTGCAATGTTAGTGTAAATGATTTTCAATCTGTCATATTGAATTCTGCAGCTCCTTGATTAACTTTGAGACTAATTTTGTGACACATTTCAGCAGGGAGTTCAAACCACAATAATGGACCTAAGTGAAAGTTTGAAGTATTTAATTTTCTGAAGAAGTGAAAAAGGGAAAGCGGTAGATGGTGTGTGGATGAGTTTTCAGAGGGCACCTTAAAATGTCCTACCAATGAGGGTCAGTAGGATGATGGAAGGAAGGTTATAGGAGCAGTGGCTGTGTGGATAGAGAGATGACTTCTGAGCCAAATCCAGCAGCAGAGCTGCACAGATTAATGTGGTACAGGATAGTGGCCCCCCTTTGAATTTCACTTTCTGTTTAATATGGGTGATTTGGACACAGGTACAAGAAGTCCATATTATGTTTTGTTTCCATCGAACAAGAGAACTGTGACATAATGTGGAGCACTTTACCATAAGGCGGAGACAAAATGTCAATTAAAGTGGACTTCAAAAAGAATGATATTGAAGAGCGTGGGAATAAGAAAGAGAAATGTGATTCAAGTTATGAACTCCACTGCAGCAAAAGTAAGAAACATGATGAAACTAAAAAAAATGGTGGAAATCTCAGCAGGTCAGGTAGCATCCATGGCGAGAAAGCTAACGTTTCGATTCCAGCATCTGCAGTGATTTCTTCCAATTCAGAAACATGACGGACTCCTTCCATTGTAGCCATCAGCTCAGTCCGACTCAAAAGGTTGTTTCCCAGAGCTTGAGCACATACTGAATTGGCACTCCCATGAAGCCCTGGGAGGAATGCCATAGACCCTGTCCTTCAGATCAAATGAGGCTTTTCCTGGGTGAACCTTAAAGATGTCAGTGCACTATTTCTCCCTGAGAAATGAATTATCCCGTCCTTATATCCTGTTGACTGTAGAACTTAGGCTCTCTGCATTCTGGACTGTTAAATGTTCTTACATTAATTGCACTTCAAAAGCATTTCATTGAAAGATGTTCAGCAGCCATAAAAAGTACCATGTGAATGTGAGCACTTCTTTTCCTTAAATTCTGATTCGATGAGAGCCAGCGATCCTTCAAATTTGATTGTCCATTGCTCCAAGCTGCAAGCATACCTTCCTGTTCAGATTCTCTGTCAATATTACTTCACACACCAGGGGAGCATGTTTAGTGTCTGGGCAATAATTATCACTTGACAAGGGCACAAGAAAGGCAGGATTGGATAGAGTGGACAGAATGTCATTTGGTGGATTTTCCTTCCAAAAATACAAGTGGGTTCTATAAGGTGAGTGACAACTGCCCCACTAGGTTTGCCTCTACCACGATGGTGTAAAACACCCAGCCGGTAAAGATATTTAAAAACAAAACTTGTCATATTGTCTGTTGCACTCTCTTCCACAGTGGGGCCTGCACCACAAGTACTGGCCTTTCACCTTAATAGCTCCATTTAAGACACATGAAAATAATCCTGCATCTTTAAAGTGAAGCTCCTGCATCTTTAAAGTGAAGCTCACAACAGCGAGGCTGTTAAATTCCACTCATGGGGTTAAAAAGTCTGCTCGTACTTTGAAGGGTACCAGTAGCGCTGTGAATTTCTTGGAGGTGACCTGAGATTGCACTGGATTTGATATTTTTACCCTGTCAGATAAAAGGTTTAGATTACATAGAGTTACAAATTGTCACACTCCATCTCCAGACCAAATGCAATCTACTGAGGACACGTAGGGATTTGTGTTGGTAACAGGATTTGCAAATAAAGGAGGCCAGATTTGATAGGTCCAGGAACAGGCATGAGGGATAACAGGCATCTATTGATTCAATTGCAGGCAGCTTATCAATTTCTACATAGCCTTTGTGGGCAGTGCTGCTGTGCACTTTGTAGATAGTACACATTGCTGCTATTGGCTACTACTTTTGGCGAGAATGAATGTTTGTGAATGTAGTCCCAATCAAGCAGGATGCTTTGTCCTGGATGGTGTCAAGTTTCTTCAGTGTTATTGGAGCTGCACCCATCCAGAAGTATTCCAGCACAGTTCTGACCCGGAACTATGTCAAGGTTCCATCTCTAAGGCAAAATCCTAGATGAAGGTCAACTGTTGAATGGCTTTTCTTTTCAGCTGTTGTTTTGGTGATTTGTGCTTTTTTTTAAAAAAAGTTGTTTCAAATTGCAATGGTGTAGGGGGACCTGGTATGCCATGTGCTGAAGAAGATTTTTGCTGACTTCAAAATTTGTGCATGACCCAGTTGCTCTGTGCCATGTCTGGAGCACAGTCCTTGCTATACAGCATGGCTTGGAGAAAGGAGAGGGTCACACAGAACAGGGCTGGCTGTTGGAAGAGGGAGTAGGTGGGGGAGGTGGGTGTCTGAGCCATAGGCCCTGGCACTTTGGTTGTGCAGAGGGCAGTTCTCCTACCTCACTGAAGAACAACATGTGCAATGTCGACACTTCAGTAAGGATGTCCTCACTGATATTTTCCACCTGCTGGAGACACAAGTATGATCTCAGAACAAAATTGCTGCTCATGCACGCCTGTAAACCTGGAGCTCACTCTCTCCACTATTGTGTCACCTCTTAATGCAGCACAGATCAGAGACACTGAACTGCTGTATGACCATCGACAATCGTTCTCACTCTGACAGGCCCCTAAACAGATACAGGTTAGCTTTAAGTGGTGCGAAGGGCTCATGGTTTTCACCTCCTTCTGTTGCCTCCAGCCAATTAACAATGCAATTAATGTTGGCTGCATGCCAAAATCACTGAAGTGAGCAAACAGCATGAAATTGATAAGCTGCCTGCAATTGAATCAATAGATGCCTGTTATCCCTCATGCCTGTTCCTGGACCTATCAAATCTGGCCTCCTTTATTTGCAAATCCTGTTACCAACACAAATCCCTACGTGTCCTCAGTAGATTGCATTTGGTCTGGAGATGGAGTGTGACAATTTGTAACTCTATGTAATCTAAACCTTTCATCTGACAGGGTAAAAATATCAAATCCAGCGCAATCTCAGGTCACCTCCAAGAGATTCACATCGCTACTGGTACCCTTCAAAGTACGAGCAGAATTTTTAACCCCATGAGTGGAATTTAACAGCCTCGCTGATGTGAGCTTCACTTTAAAGATGCAGGAGCTTCACTTTAAAGATGCAGGATTATTTTCATGCGTCTTAAATGGAGCTATTAAGGTGAAAGGCCAGTACTTGTGGTGCAGGCCCCACTGTGGAAGAGAGT